AATTGTGTAATGTAAAAATATAATGATTAATATTTTATATAAAATATATATATTACAAAATATATTTTACTCTAAAACTGCAAGAAAAATAAAGTCAAATATCTGAACAAGTTGTATTCCAAATTTTAGGTTGATATCTCAAAAAATGAGCTTTCAGTAAGATTTTATTCGGGCGCAGTACCCAACTTTTTCACTAGGTGAACACCAGACTCCATTACTGCCCATATAAGGGCGCCTCCATTTTCATATGTTTTGAGTGAATCTGAACCATGTATTTCCATAATTTTCATACAATTTATGAAGTAGACATCCTATTCAGAAGTAGTAGGGGTGGTTTGGCAGTATTTGATTTGAATTAAACCTCTAATAAATGCATAAAGACTACGTTATAGCGTTATAGCTCGCAGCCGCATTACAAATCGAGAATCCATACATTTTTCTTTATATTTAAAACATTTTCAGACCTTTTTTTCTCATAAAATGGAATTGGTGTTATCTTTTGAACTCATGGCATGAAAACAAACTGAGGTTTCTACCAATCTTTCATGATTTTTCATGTTTATTGTTATTTGAAAATAAAGGCCTAAATACTCCTAATGAATATGAAATATTCTTGTTGCAAATTGATAAATTTCTGCTCCTCTGTAATATATTTTAGATAACAGCCACCAAATATGAAAACTAGAGATTTTAAGCTTTCAAATGATATATAGTTTGGCAATATTACTTTAGGTTTTTACTAAGATATTATTGTTTTAAACATGCAATGGCAAATGGGCCCGCCGGCGGTGTCTCAGTGTCTCTGATAGTGTTGATCTCTGCTGGATCTCTGATGATTGTTGTAATCGTGATCTTCTGCATCTGCAGGAAAAGTAGAAAAACGGGTCAAGGCAAGAGTTTTATTATTACAAGTAATACAAAAAAATGTATATGTATAGCCCTAATAGACCTTAGTTATGTAGATGCCATGCAGATTGAAACGTGGCTGTGAAGGATAGAAGTAAAGTCTTTAAGGCACGCACTGTATAAAGGTCCTAGATCATGTCATTTTCACAACTTGCATCCTTTAAAACTGTCTCATGGAGGTTTTTTTTTTTTTCAAGATATTTTTCAGTCAAACACAGACTGTGAATCTGATACAGTATTTGGAAATCCAGTCATGTGAAAAAATTAAATTAAACCCTCTTTGAATTCCATGGTTTTATGTATCGGGACATAATTAAAAAAAATCTTCGAGACAAAATGGAGAAGCCATGTGTGAAAAACTAAGGACACCCTTACTGTTAACATAAAAATGAATATGTTAGTAGCAGTCTTAGCGCTGTTAATCAAATGCCTTTGATGAATTGATCATCTGCAAGTGTGAAGAAGTTCTCTCAGTTTGCTGGTTTGGAGCCTTCAGGTGTGTGTTAACACAATGCAAAGCAGGAAAGACACCAGCAATGCTCATAGGCTCCTCTCACACTGCAAGCCTTTTTGCTCAATTCTTATTTATTACTCAGATTATAGATGTTTAGATTGTTGTTTTAAATGTGGCCAATATCAGATTCCAGTGTGAACAGATCAGTGTCCTGAACTGACCCGCATGCGCAAAAGAACGATAATAAGACGTCACGCAACGCGCTGTCATACGGAAACACAGAGGACATTAAAGTAAGCGATTATATGTTTTGTATAGTGTGATCTGCTGCAGAAGCCAGATAATGTACACACAGGAGGATGTGAAAAAAGAGAGCAGAGTTTCTAAACATACGATGTTTTGCATGTATAACTGTAATAATTATATGAACATCACTGTCCTTCACTGACTACCTATCGAAACGGCCTTGATGACTTCAGGTATGTAAAATATTTGAAGTGACTCCTAGTTGAACTAGGATTGTGTTCTAAGGTGGTTCTAATGTCTCTAGTCTTCCTCTTGGTGTGTCGGTCAAAACACATCAATGGATCAGGACAGTCTGATTCAATCAAAGGGTTTATTGAACACTGAGAATGCGTTGGTCTGTGTGAGGTATGTGTGTGGTTCAATAAAACATAAATAAAGAAATAATGAGCATAACATGACTTGACTGTTATACCAAGATAAATGGAAAGATAAACCATTAAATTACACTTTCTGGAGAGTTTTGTACAAAGAAATGGAGAAATTGAGTCTTACATGATATGTGAAAAACTGCAAGGTTAAGAGCATATAGGCTACTTTGCATTGTTGTAGTATCAACATGTACTGATTAACTCAAATAAATGGTTGATTTGATTTCCATTAACTATAAAATACTAAAAAATAAAATCAATCTATCCCTTGTGGAAAGGCTGCTTGGTAGTTAAAGTAGGTCTATATTTCAAGCAATTCACACAGATCAAACACAAATATGCTGACTGAATAGATTCCTAGTTTATTTTGAGTAGCCAGCTAGCAGTTCTCTTGGCAGTTTGCTGATAATCCGGTGTCTGAAGTAAAATGCTCAAAACATCTCCTGAGAAAAATACCAACCAAGTCTTTTAATTTTGGTTTAGTCTTATTTTTATTACCTTGTCATTCAAGGCCAGGGCACTTTTTGTACATTTCTGGAACTTTTGCGCGCTTCCACATCCCGTGCAACTACGGATCTCCCAGAAACATATTGATGCGTACATTTATCCGTGTCACCTAGATGCGCATGCGCGAGCGGTGCGCGATCATGGTCGACTGACGACATAAGCAGCTGAAGAATACGGCCGTTTTTAAAAATTGAATTATGTATTTAAAAGTTGCAGAATGGATTAATTGGGAGACTCCGAAATTGGCATAGATAGGCAGGCAATGCAAAACAAAATCTTACATTGGGAAGTAGTGGGGGGGACAAAACTTTGATTTTGAAATGTGTGGGGGACATGTTCCCCCCACGTATAATGGCTCCTACGCCCCTGTACATAAGTAAACTGGACCAATATGATGCAATTTGGCGCCGTCATTGTTTAAATAAACATAACCGGCACGTTGAAACCAAAAGTGGTCCATATAGGCCTATTGATAATGAATATCACACAGCGCACTATAGGCCTACAGTATCCCACATGAACCTAACAAAGAATTAAGAATAATACCATAGTAACATAAACAGTGTTGTGCAAGTTACTTCCAAACTGTAATACATTATATATTACTTGTTACTGTTATTTAAAAGTAATTCATTACCTTACAATATTACTGTCTCAGAATTGTAATGCATTACATTACTCCCCTTACAGAAAAACCACATGAGTTTCACATGTGCAAAAACACATGTGATCCCATGTGACAACGTGGACATGTGATTTTGCACATGTGAAATTTAACATGTGAAATATGTGGAACACATGTGCTTTGCACATGTTAAAGGTAATTTGCACATGGGAAACGTGTGGTTTTGGAACATTTTCATGTGAAACCCATGTATATTCCCATGTGAAACCCATGGGATTGCATGTGAAACCCATGTGATTACATGTGAAACCCATGGGATTGCATGTGAAACCCATGTGATTACATGTGAAACCCATGGGATGTGAAACCCATGTGAAACCCATGTGATTACATGTGAAACCCATGTGATTACATGTGAAACCCATGGGATTGCATGTGAAACCCATGTGATTACATGTGAAACCCATGGGATTGCATGTGAAACCCATGTGATTGCATGTGAAACCCATGTGATTACATGTGAAACCCATGGGATTGCATGTGAAACCCAAAATTCCCATGTGAAATCCATGAGCTTACATGTGAAACGTAAAATTCCCATGTGAAACATTTAATCACATGTGAAACCCATGAGATATCATGTGAAATGTAAAATATCTCATGTGAAACCCATAGAATGACATTTGAAACCCATCAACAATCCATGTTAAAGCTACACACCATGTAAACCTGTAACTTCATGTGAAATCCATGTAAAAATCATTAAGCAATATACCACAGAAAACGGTAGGCCTACCATGTTCTTGTGTAGGCTCTATAGCCTAATGTTTCCCAACATTAAAACAAATAATTCAAAAAAAAATTTTTTTCACTTTTTATTTCATTTCAAAATATGCAATACAAATTGAATGTTTAAAACAAACAAAGCAAAACCAAATTAAAATTATACATAAAAAGCCGCAAAAAACGCAGGTATACGCGCATGTGTGTGTGTGTGGTGTGCGTTTGTGAAAGTGTGTTGTCTCAGTCCTTTGTGTCTCCTGCAGCAGGCATCCTGTTTTGGGATAGAAAAAGATCAAAGATTAGGGCAGTGCAAACCATAGACTGTAAAAAAAAATATGGACGTAGTGTCCGTGACGTCACCCCGTAGGTTTCTGAAAAGCATTTTTATGGGGCTTAATAATTAATTATTATTCATTTGTAATGTTATTATGTCATTAAACGTTTTACGTAAATATGCTATGGAAATACATCTTGCTTAAACAACTGTATAAGACGAGTGGTGCGTCTCATTTATAAAAAAAACTATTGACAGTTTGTGATTAGATCACAATGTAGACTGAGGAATAAACTGAGTCATCAGTCCTCGCGCATGTCGGTTTCGCAAATGTGAACAGACCACATGGGGATCACACTTGGATGTTGGATCGTCTGAATATTACCTTTCTGCTCGTCTCCTCAGATCTTTTAACTTTTGTGCCATGCAGACCTTGATCTCAGTGCCTCCGATGCCTGGGTGCCTCTTTTTGACATGGTCTGTAAGAAATGAGATTGATTACATTAAAATTTGAAAACAAGTTTGACATGAAGTGACATAACTGTCAGATTCAAACTGTGCTTTCCGCGCTATGGCTGGCGCTGACGGACGCGCTCAGCGCTTGTCATATATAATAACTATTGATAAAAGATATTCAGACATGCTTACCAATTATTAGCTGCACCTTTTGTAGGTCAAGGCTCTTTTTTCACCAACAACCCCTTTTTTTCCGTTCATGCTGCCATCTCTTCGAAAGAGAAGATGGAGTCCATAAGAGTTCTGGTTAACTTTTTGTAGCCCTTACATCTTTGAGCATGATCCAAAGCAACTGGGTTCATTAAGTCAGTCACAGACTTGTTCTGCAAAGCAAAAAATAAAATAAAAAATAGAACATTTTCGTCAGGACAGAAACCGTGATCTTTTCAACGTTATTGCATATTAGGTGAGGTTTTCACTTTGGAGCTGTGAGTGTAAATTTTAGCATACAAGTATTTATTGTTCATGCTCGAGTCTTGATACTCTTTTACCTTCATATTCCAGAGTTTAGGGGTAAAATGCGAGAAATCTCCTTTAGTGGACTTGGATATGCTGGGCACTACTCACTGATCTATATAAATGACTTGATTGCTCATGACGTCATGTAAATTGAAGTCACCATATTCTATTGAATTAATAGGAAATCATCTGACTTTAATGAGTAAACATGACCTAACGAGTCAGTGTTTTTTATATTTGAATTCTATACATTCTTACCATGTAAACATCCAAAACATTTCTGATTATTATCAATGTTGAAAACAGTTGTGCTGATTAATGTGTTTGTGTAAACCATTGTAACAGTTTAAACCATTTTTTCCCCTCCAGGATTCATTGTTAAATAGACCACAAACATATGAAGGGTAGTTTACACTAATGTTCAAACATTTGGGGTCAATGATAGATTTAAAAATGAACAGAAAAAAAAGAAGAAATTCATATTTTTACTCAGCAAGGATGCATTAAATTGATCAAAAGAGAGAGTAAGGATTTCTGTTTCAAATAAATGCTGTTATTTTAACCTTTCTATTCATCAAATAATCCTGAAAAACACAAAAATATGAAGCAGCACAACTGTTTTCAACACTGATAATAATCATAAATGTTTTTTTGAGCATCAAATCGTCATATTAGAATAATTTATGAAGGATGATGTGAAGCTGTGATGCTGAAAATTCAGCTTTGATCATAGGAAGTAATTGCATTTTACAATATATTCACATAGAAAACAGTTTTTATTTATTTATATTATTTCACAATATTATTGTTTTTAATGTTTTTTGGTGAACATAAGAGAAAGAGACATAAACATTTGTACCAAGACAATTAGTGTATGTTTGACATTAGTGTATGTTTGGCGTTTTACTTACTAATCATATGGTTCATCAATAGTGCTTTAGAGATGAAGATCAGCTCCACTCCGCTCCGTTGAAGGGCATCAGCACTGAAGGATCTAAGAACACAACAAGCCATTTGTCACTGAGCCAACAATGCAATGCCAGGTTTATTGAAAGGAAAGAAGCTACAGCAGAGGTGAAATGCAGAAAAGAGAAAGAATTTAAAGAATATACAGAATATAATTTCTTAACTAGGATAACAGAATTTGTTTTTGGGTTTACTTATTCATTTAATTTTGCTCATACGGTGTAACTTCGTTTGGATGTCAAAACCTTCTTAAAATAAACTATTTAAAAAAACAAATTGAGAAATAAAATGAGCTTCCTCGGCTCACCTGTGTCCTAACGTTACTTCTCCGGCAGCAGCTTTCTCCAGAAATGTTGAAGTCGTGGAGCTTTCTCTCTGTTATGGGTTATTTTGTTACTACTGAAATCACAGAACATTTTTTAATCAAAATGTGTTTAACGTTACCATTGAGCTAACGTTAGTTTCAGCCAATTTTCTTGCTCCTGAAAGTAACATCACCGATACGTTATGTTTACGTTTGTGTTAAATAAATTAGCTCACTTCCAAGTAAAACCTTTACAAAACCTCTCATCTACACATAAGAGGTGATTAAAAGCCCAAACTTTAATAAATAAAAGTTCAACCGAGTTAACATTACGTTAGCCTAGCTAGCTGCTACCTCTTCAGAAAACGGTTGAGATCCTAACGGACTTTTTCCGAAGACACTACACCATGTAAATTTTTAACAGAATCGTGTCAATTACAAGTAAGAGAAATGTCAAAAACAGTTGTGAGTATTATTCGTGTGATTTTAGAGACTAATCTCACCTGGAAAAAGCCGTGAAAAGTTTAAACAACATCGAGAGAGGGAGTTTTGTTGCTTACCAGTAGCAGTGGTCCCGCGCCGTTTCCATGGCAACTCTGCGCGCCGGCCGCTCCAGTGTTTGAAATACTCGAAAGTTCACGCGCACGGCATTGATTAAACCACGTCAAAATCATGCAGCACTTAAAATGAAAAGTTTAATATCCACTTTATTTTATTTGAAAACGTGCTTGCAGTAGCCTATTGATTATATCAAATATAATATACTGTTGATTATGTAAAATATATTTACAATATAGCTTTAGAAATGGTAAACAGTGTTGAAATAAAAGTATTGCAAAAACTCATTAAAAACTATACGTGTATATAAGTGTTAGTATATACACATGCATTATAAGCTTTATGTTCTATGCATTTTGTGTGAAAAAGGCTATTGAAGCTAAAAATGTACAGTATTTGTGACGTGGTAACATAATTCACATGTTAAAACCTATTACAACGTGCAAATATATTTCACATGAGCTCCACATTATTACCTATAACATGTTTTCCACATGTGCCACGTGTTCCATTAAGTTCACATGTGGTGACATGTTGTTCACATGTGGTCGAACATTACTGCATGTGGTGACATGTTGTTCACATGTGGTCGAACATTACTGCATGTGGTGACATGTTGTTCACATGTGGTGAAACATTGTTCACATGTGATGACATGTTGTTCATATGTGGTCACATGTGGGCATATGTGGTCACATGTGGGCACATGTGGGCACATGTGGAAAACATGTGATAACATGTGAAATTCATGTGTTTTTTCTGTAAGGGTCCTGTATTACTTTTGAGTTACTTTCACCAAAATAACTATACAGAAGTAGAACTTAACATTCTAAATGACTAGGGCTGTAACGATATGCGATATGAAACCGAAATCGCGACACTCTTCCAACTCCCAGCGTTATCCATACCTTCCAGATCCAATGCTTCTACATCTTTAAATTACTATTAGTATTATTTGAAGTTAACTTAACATTATAAAATACGTAGACCTACACCACAAAACTAGTTGAGGATAAATTATTTAAAATTTGGGAATTCCAGCGTTATGGACATGACATTTGCAGTCAAAACTTGAAATATAAATTCTCAGAAAATGCATTAATACCAAAATATTGAAACGTCTGTTTATCCATAGGCTCCTCCCTGAAAGGAGCCCAGACATTAGAAAAATATCAGTCTACACATGCGTTTTATATTTAATATTAGGGAAATAGACAGTCATGCGTGACAAAACTTCTAGGAGGCAACGATTTTTTTTTTTTTTTTTTTTTTAATTCTGTGAATTACACTGCGCAAATCGGATGAAGAAGGGTTGGCTCTCCACAGAACATAAAATATTCATTTTATTTTATTTTCGTGTTCGCATTTATGAGGAAAAAACAATGTTACAGACGTGACAGTTCTCCATTACGGACGCGACCGCTGAAGCGGCACTAAAAGACTGCTTTAAAACTTTCACAGAGACCTTACACAGAAGACACAAAAGCCTTTCTTTAAAGTGAATTTCGTTAACCCTTTGATGCGCAAGCTATGGATACCCCTTCTAATGCGCAACATGGGTCTAAAAAGACCCGTATTCATTTCCTATGTTATTTCAGTCATGGCTGAATGTTTCTTTGCTGAATCTTTAAAATATATGCATTTTATCATTTGTTATTCCAGGTATTGATTAAATATCTTGTTTTTGATTTCCACAAATCATTATGTTTATGTTTCCTTTCTTACTTTATAAACAAACACAGTTTTTGTATTTCTACATCAATTTTACATACATGGGTCTAAAATGACCCGTATTCATTTCCTATGTTATTTCAATCATGGCTTAGTGTTTCTTTGCTGAATCTTTAAAATATATGTATTTTATCATTTGTTATTCCAGGTATTGATTAAATATCTTGTTTTTGATTTCCACAAATCATTATGTTTATTTTTTCTTTCTTACTTTATAAACAAACACAGTTTTTATTTCTACATCAATTTTACATACACGGGTCTAAAATGACTGTATTCATTTCCTATGTTATTTCAGGTGGCTTTGACAGTTACAGATTTTAAAATCAAAAGGCGGGGAAAAAAGGACCCTAAACTCTTAACACATCGAACCATTTCAGCATAATGGCTTATTCAAGACTATACGGTTCTTAATAGAACTTTTAGGCCTATTACATGTAAATAAGCTTTAAAGGGGCATTTGGCAACTATTTCAACTTAATGAAACCGTTTAGAAATCATTTGGATGGTTTAATAATTGTTCTGGTGAAAATGGTGACTTTCCCTGCTCCCCCCAACGTTCCTAGGCGGAAAACCAACCTTGCAACATGGGGACTAACGTCCCAGTAAGTTGGAAACAGGAAGTCTTGTGAGAAGCGAGAACGAGCGAGAAACACAAAATGCTTTATGGCAATTCGACATAAACACACACGCCGCCCTCAATGTGTATGATGTATTACCCACCTCGGTATAGCTCCACACGATAAAGTTGGCCGGCTCCGATAATAACAAATGCTCATGAGCAGCGGTAGAAAGGGGGAGGAGGGGCCGCAAGTGAGTTTTTTTACAACATTGTTGTGAAATATACATCCCACAGCTGTAGGGGGAGCTCGTTGAGAAAACATGCGACAACAAAAGTGAAAATCAGCGAAGAAATAGCTAGAGTTGCTGAGTTCCCCTTTAAAAACCCATCTTTTTTTAGTGTAGCTAACATTAGCTAGCTAGAATAGAATATGTCGACAGCTAGCTAGCTAATAGTATTGGATATGTTTCTCTTTCTCACAAGTAATTTCTCACTAGGATTTCGTGGTCAAGTAACCATAGCCTAATATTCAAATATTATGTCCAGTTATCTTTTACAAAATATCAAATATTTTCTGTGGTTAAAATAAAATAAGACTTGCATCAAATATACAAAAGCAGCAGTGTTGAATTGTGAAATGTGTGGCAGGTGAATAGTATTATGTAATAATACCATAGTAATAGTATTTATGCAGTAAATATGTTCCTACTTGCAAATATGTGCAAATATCAAAGGTTTCTATATGGGTCATTTTTGACCCATGTATGTAAAATGTATGTAGAAATACAAAAACTCTGTTTGTATATAAAGTAAGAAAGAAAACATAAATATCAATATTTAATGAATATCTGGAATAACAAATGATAAAATGCATATATTTTAAAGATTCAGCAAAGAAACACTCAGCCATGACTGAAATAACATAGGAAATGAATACGGGTCATTTTAGACCCATGTATGTAAAATTGATGTAGAAATACAAAAACTGTGTTTGTTTATAAAGTAAGAAAGGAAACACAAACATAATGATTTGTGGAAATCAAAAACAAGATATTTAATGAATACATGGAATAACAAATGATAAAATACATATATTTTAAAGATTCAGCAAAGAAAACACTCAGCCATGACTGAAATAACATAGGAAATGAATACGGGTCATTTTAGACCCATGTATGTAAAATTGATGTAGAAATACAAAAACTGTGTTTGTTTATAAAGTAAGAAAGGAAACATAAACATAATGATTTGTGGAAATCAAAAACAAGATATTTAATGAATACATGGAATAACAAATGATAAAATACATATATTTTAAAGATTCAGCAAAGAAAACACTCAGCCATCACTGAAATAACATAGGAAATGAATACGGGTCTTTTTAGACCCATGTTGCGCATTAGAAGGGTTGTGATACAAAAACTATTTTTATTCAAAAAGTAAGAAAGTAAAAATAAAAATAAGGATTTGTGATGATCAAAAACAAGTTAATTGAGGAATACCTGGAATACTGAATGATGAAATTAATTTCTTGCAAAGATATAGAAAATTAAAACTCAGTCGGGTCTATTTAGACCCATGTTGTGCATCAAAGGGTTAAGTATTAATTGTATCTTAATTGTAATCAATGTTTCATCAACCAATTACTTGGATAAGTTGGATTTAATAAATAAGAAGTAGGCTAAATATAGCAGACAATTATAGATAGGCCATCACGACACGGAGGTGAACTGGAGCGCGTCTCATAAATGAACCGAAACTCAGCGTATAAGGTAGCCTATTCACGGACCTGAAAAATATATCTATATTGAAATGTCTACTTGTAAACAGAACAATTCAAAACGAAAGAAAACAGACTCTGCTTATGAAATGAAATGTGCATTTCTCTCTGGTGCATTCACTAGCTGCGAAGATCGCGAGTCAGCATCGTCAACTTCATCTTGACTTTATTAATAAACAATTAAAATGTCTCCTTGCAATATTTGACATATTCATAATCATTGCTTTTGCCGGTTCTTTGTGACAGCTTTTAGGTGCTTTATCGGCAGCGCCGCCGCCCTTACATGAACGCGTCACCACCGCATCAAAAACATGATTGCGTGATGAAAACATGAAAAATACCACATAAACATATCCCAGCAAACATTGGTCCGACGGCAACGTCGTGTCCCTGGCCAAAAATAGTTGCGGCCAGGACGTCATAAATCGGTAAAAAATTTAACACAGAACATTTCCTAAAAATGCATTCAGATACATTTGTACATGTCTACAGTTGCATGTATAATTGTTATTTTAACTTTTAGCTACGTGTAGTTATGTTTAGTGTATCGGGTGAGAGGACGTCACCTGGCGACGTCTTTTACACGTGCATTTATAGTCCATCATGACCCTCTATGAAATCCTTGTTAAATATGCAAAAGCTGCGCTTAATCCTCGCATGGTTAATACTGCAATAATTAATGTAGTTGCCCATGAAGTTTTTAAGAGGTTGTGAAGAAGACGTCCACTGGCGTCCTTTACACGTCTAGTCAGGCTGTGAATACTATACGTCCACTGGCGTCTTTTGCACGTCTAGTCTAGCAAGACAGAAAAAAATTATCAGGATTTATAATTCTTTATAAAATACACGATTTATATACAAATGCATATATATTTACTTTATCTTGTTTTTATAAATTATAATCACAAAATGCACAGTATAGTCAAGTGATTGCAAAGCCACTGCCTTTTAATCATTATTTTAACCTGTTGTACCTGATGTATTCGTTGTTATTTTTTTATGGAATGTATATACATGTAAAACAGAAATATAACCGGTCACCATTTATGT